CGATAATTATTTTCTAAAGAAGCACATCATAAAACTTACTAGGTAGATTCCCCCGATATAGTTGAAGGGTCAAAGGAGTTTTTGGCTTTTCGATGTGAAAGTAGTTGTATAGAGGTTCATCCGGTATCATGGTAAAGTGAAAAATACATCTAATTTGCATTTTATTGTCATCTTTAAGAAGTCTTTATGATAACGTCCTGACACTGTAAAGTCAGTTGGTTTATGGAAAAAAGTTCACATGGAGATTATGCCCTCTTTCTTTACAGTTAGTTAGAGGCTTTGTAGGGATTTCCACTTCCTGTGATTTTTTTGTGGTGTTTTTATTCTTGCACTAAAAGCTCTTCCTTTAGATAAAAGTTCATGGCCTTCAACTCCTACCCGCGGTGACGTCCGTACCCCATCATCCTAACTTGAACGTCGAAGCGCATAAATCGAACCGAATCCGAACGCGCGTGGACCAAGTTGTCTGCATCTGAAGGGGTAGGCCAGATTTAAAGTTCATCTGTACTTTTTATACAGAGATAAATTGTTGATTTTAAATGGTCTTAATCGGTTCCTTCTTGGACTCGACGTGTCAAGCCAACTCGTTTACAAAAGTATTGGTACAAAGCGAGTAGATTATGGAGCAGTGCAGAACGGCCTCTGTACTGCATTGCCTTCAATGTAAAATATGTAATTACTTTGGTACATTGTAGAAGTTTCGCATAAGACCTTTAGATCTCAGTTCTTATTCCATTTCCTTAAGAAGCAGGTCGTGATGAACCACCCCATTACAAAACCTTCCGGTTTGCAGTAGATTTTCTACCTGCTACGTGCGTCGTTTGGGCCAACCTTCCATCAATAAGCAAAACCTTGTAAAATACAATATAGATGAAACTTACAGCAGCCAGTATAGTGTGCGAATTTGTCCTCTGCTGGATCCAACGCGTAACAGCAGAGACATTTCCATTTAAAAATTAGTTCCACACTCTATTCGTTGACCCTAATTTCAAAAGAGCCTTGTCTTTAGTCTTCGCAACGTAATTTAATCTTTTGTTGCTACCCGGTAAAAGTTAAAGGCTGGACTATAGTTAAGGTAAAGGGTAGAGTAAAGATAAATCTAAATGGTTTACCCTGGTAACCCTTCACCATTACAAAAATCCGTCACGTAGTTTATAGCACGATTGTGTAGTCTGTGACAGACTTCTAGTTTCCAAGTGGCAACTTTTTTTAGTATTTCAGATTTAAGTAGTCTCACTTCTTTCCTTTCACCTTACAGTAGTCTTCCACTTAAGTACACACATTGAAACCTAAATTTCTATGTGTACTTAACGATTTCATTTCCAAAGATTTTTTGTAAAGCTCCAATGTCGAAAAGATTGTTTACTAATCGCCTGAACTAGTCCCAACGATGTGAGATTATTTCAAAACTCAGAAAGTAGAATACTCCAAGCAAACGCGCTTTAGCGCATGAGTATGATATTAGTGAAAGTGTTGTGAGGAAAATATAGGAGAAACAAGATTTCATTTTCGAACGATCAGCTTTACTCCCCGAAGAGACCAGATAGATTACCTTTAGAGCTTCGGTCGGAAGATTTTTTGAACATGAAGAAAAGTTGTACATTTGGATTAACAGCAAGCGTTGTGTCAAGCTTCTTGTACCGCCATCTTTTGCAAATGCAAAGTCAAAAGTTATCGCATCTACATTATCAAAATGTGATTTGGATTTTAAGACTTTATGACAATGGCTTGATCATTTCATGACTTATCAAGGTCTGCAGAAAATGCTTATGCACGGAGAAGTCGCAGAGGTTGACAAGAATGATCCTAGTTTACTATCAAACTTGGAAGGATTATCTCTCATCATCTCTCAGTACAATACTGAAAACGTGTACAACATGGACAAGACATGATTGTTTTTTTTTTTTGCTTCCCATATATTCAATTTTTCTGCCGAACAAAGATATCTCAAGCACCAGAGGTAAAAAAAACTCAAAAGATTATGTTTTTCTGATAGTTTGTGCTAATGCTTCCGGATCATATAAAATTACTTGCGTAATGATTGAAAAGCCGAAGGAACCAACTTGTATCAAAGATCAACAATGACCAATTCCTTATTTCAATCAAGCGGAGGCTTGGATGGACGTGAAAATCTGTTAAATATGTTTTAACAAAATCTTTGTTCCAGAAATCAAGAGACATTACGTACCATTCTTTTATTGCAAGATAATGCGCCAGAACACTTCGATGCTTTTGAACGTGACAACATAAGTGTGGTATTTTTTCCTCTGAATTGTAATTGTTGGAAACAACCTTGTAATATGGGGATTATTGGTGCTCTCAAGAAACAATATAGATATATATATCTCAAGGATATTCTCGATTTCAACGAGCTTAACGAGGAGTTGGAGAGGAAAAGAGAATTCGGAAAAAGATTACAACGAGATGCAGCATGAGTTTTTTACGTAAATCCAACACATCTGTTGTACGTTGCAAGCTATGTGAAAGAAGCTTGGAATTCAATCTCTTCAAATTCTATAAAAAATGTATTTTGCAATGCAGAGCTCATCAATTTGAAACCCGAACAAGATGTTGAGAGCAAAATTAGTCTGATTGTCGTAGAGTTAGCTGAAACTATCAGCAACTTAAATTTATCAATTGATGAAACAGATTTGGAAAATTTTGCTCATACTGACGATAATAGCAATGAAAAATATGCTGCAGCAGTGCTAGAAGACGTCAAGTAATTGTTATATTCAATGACTATTTATGTAGCAAATTTTGATGACAACTATATTGATTCAACCTAGCAGATTATAGATTCACATGATTTTATGGATTTGAATCTATGTATAAAAAGATTATTGATATCGACGAGCAATTGCTCTGTTTTGCAGTTCAGATGGAAGCTCAAGATTCATTCGACAACTTGAAAAAATTGTTTGAAATATTTCAAGCTAAGGTATGAGGAGTAGTTTTTAAATCTAGACATAGAAAAAAAGATAGAAGCTCAGGATTCATGTTACAATCTGAAAAAATTATTTCAAATATTCTAAGCTAAGGTACGAGCAGTAGTTTTTAAATCTAGACGCAAAAAAACCAGAACATGCGTCAGATTACGATTCACGATATGCTACATTGAAATCTTTGAAATTTATAGTGAAATCTTTAAACTATAAAGTGAAATTGTTGAAATTTATTGTAAAACATTTAAAGTGTAAAGTGAAATTGTTGAAATTTATTGTAAAACATTTAAAGTGTAAAGTGAAATTGTTGAAATTTATGGTGAAATCTTTGAACTGTACAGTGAAATCACTGAAATTTATGGTGAAATCGTCAAAAATATTGAAATTTTTAAAGTTTTTTAGTGAAATCGTTAAAAATGTTGATCCCTTGAAATCTTCTGAAAAAGTGCGCACTTAATGGGATTCGTTCCTAAACGGGTGCATACTTCAGTGGGAGGTTACTGTACTTCCTCCTCGTTCTACTCTATGACCACTATGTTGACTCTTTCGGTATTATTCTCATTATGCTATTACTAGAATGTTGTAAATAGTGAAGTTTTAACACATTATCATTTGTCGAGTCTACCTGGGATTTCTAATGGATCTTAAATTTTAAAGATATGACTTACTTTAAAATCACACTCGTTTTGAGAGCAAATTTTGAATACTAATAAATCATGTTGTTTCTCATCTAATATCTGGTCAGCGGTTCTGTAGAATGTAATTCTCGCCATGCTCCTTGCTTGTCATGAACATGTGAAATCTAATAAGAACAAGATAATTACAAAGTTCTTTGGACTTCATCCGTTAAACCTCATCGTGGTCAAAAGTTGTGATAAAAGGATAACTGTTGTTTGATCACGATCGCTAATACCATCAAGTTTAACAATACGTAATCTTAAATCTGCCCAGTTCGTAAAAGTTTGGCCCAACCCAAGGGTGCTACCCAGTCCAGCCTTTGCAACATCATACATGAATTTGTATGAAATTTCTATAGTTTCCCGAATCCAATAGCTATTTCACCAATCCAAAACTATCACGCGTATCTTCAAACCTTCTTGATCTTTGACCTTGTGAAAACCAGTTGCAGATAAGTTGTAAGGGAACAGTTTCTAAGGGATAACTGCCGCAATTCTAACATGGAAATCAAGATTTCCATGTTCAAAAGTTTGTGCTCATAAAGGAAGAGAGCACTACCACAGAGAGAGAAACATCTTGCGGGGGAATTTCCGAGAAGTCGCGGGAAAGCGCATCTGCCCTGGATTAAGTAATCTTTATAGAACGCTTCAATTTGCAGATGGCACTTTCCATGGTTTTTATTCACTCTATGAACGGGACATCTTGCATCCGGGAAAAGCGCATCTGCGCTGGATTAAGTGATCTTTGTAGAACGCTTCAATTTGCAGATAGCATTTTCCATGGTTTTTATTCACTTGCATCCGGGTAAATTACCATTAGCTAGATGGTAAGATGAACGGGTGAGTTAAAAGACAAAGGACCATACACTACCAGATAACCTTTTAAGTTACCTTGCCGAGGCCTACTTGTCCTGCATTTCCTGTTCATTTCACACTCCACTCGACTGCAGAGATCCTTCTCCTTACCAGGTGTGGTTGCGGCTCGTTGATGCGCATCACAGTCTTGGAACTGTGCTTCAACAAGTACGCAATCTAAGATATGGCTCCTTCCCTAAAAAAGGTAAACGATTCATTTTACCCTGTCATTTACCCATTTTACCAATTTTACCTCACTCGCTTCCAGCCATATGTTGTGTCCAAATAAAGCGTTCGTGAATTAGGCTGATAAGAGTGTGTAAACGCCATTGTAAACTTACATGATTATATTTCTTTCTGCTGTTGTATCGCCATGGTAATCTGCCATCCGTTGTAGTTAGATAAAATTTCCGTTAGCAATTTGAAATGCAACATTGTAACATATTTCACTAGACTAACGAAAAAATCGACTGACGAGAAAATTTTGGACCTCACTTACACGCCACCTTTAAAAGCTCTTTGGGTTCTCATAAATGCATTTATTCTCCTTGAATCCTAGGTAACATAGAGGTGAAACCCAAAACTGGCGAAGACAATTCGCAGTTAGGTAGCACTTACACCAACTTCCCAATTTGAATACCCAACACAGTCAAGATCAAGACTGTAAAGCAGTCGCCGTTATGAGGACACAAGACCTTGCAGCTGCCTATTGTAAGCAGAAAACAATCTTAGGCGGTGGATGAGACGAATAATTTTGCACTTGAAAACTTCTAAAACTTCAGTGTCGTCCTGTGGTGTCAGCCGTGGCTCAGATGACGAGTCTAAAGCCAATCCTATGATCTATATTCGCTTCGATAAATTGAACTCTTCATCTAGCCATTTATACAATACAAAGTATTCACTAATCATAGTTGTTTAAATTTCCTATCTAACAGCTGACTGGCAGGAACACACTCATGTAGATAGGTTTCCGTACTACTCCCACACCCAATTTCCACGTCTGAGGCATTTTCTTTTCATGTCACGTCTAAACTTCGTCCTGGAAAATTGGTGTATATAAGCTGATGGTTTCATATACAGGAGTGCTTACACCGTAAAGAAACAAACCAAGATGAAACCCAAAGAGCCTTGGATTTATCTTGGATCTCGATACTTGTGGTTCTCTATGTCTTCAGAGGTGCTTTCTTTTCCCTATCCGAAATCCGAGCTGGCCCTGTATTGTGAGACTTGAAGCGACCCCTTCCTCCATCTTCTTCCTTCTCCTGAAATGTATAAATAAATTCATGTAATAGCCTGAACCCATTAGTATTTGCCAGTCATAGCATCGATATCATAATCCCTTCGCCTAAACTGAACTAGCAGAAGATGACAAAAGGACGGAAGAACGCAGAAGGAGAAGAAAGAACTGTTCGTAGAGTACAAACTAAGAACTATTTGAGGGTAATCAGGATCTCTCGAGGTTTAGAAGATTCTTTGAAGATAAGGATATTTCGATGTTGCAAACAGTAGACCAAGAAACCTTTAATAGCTCAAACACCTGTTCGATTTTGCGAATCCAAAGCATGATACTTCACGACCTGTGGCTTTGAAAGTTGAAGGTTTTCAAGAATGTTTCTTCCTCCACCCAATGACTGACATTTATTGTTGCCCTCCTACTCGAGGCTTTGATTTTGCTTCAATTGCAATCCAACAATTACAAAAGTACTTGAAAGGTAAACTTAATTGAATCGCACCATGTAAACACAACTGGCTTACCTTCTTTTTCACGATTTGAACAACATCTTCGTCACAAAGACAATGTTGTGTGCCACAGCGTTGAGGATAATGCTTAGAACTTGCTCCCCAAACCAGCACATACTTGATGTCCTTCAGCAGGCTCCGATGAATATGGTTACAGAAGTCTTCTACCGAACAGCCACCTCTATCCTGAAGTTAACAACAAGACAGACTCTCAGGCAAGATGCCACCACTACCCCTTTAAGATGAATCATTCTCACGATAAAAGTTTCAACCATATATTTTTCTTCGCGTTAAAAGCAAAAGGTCTGCATATACTACTTACAGTTGAAAGAACGACAGGTTCTGAAAAATCTGGCTGTTGCCCTTGAGGCTTTGTGTAGACTCGTACAAGGCCCATCTCTTCCCACATCCTTGCCAATAACCTATCCAAATTTAGCTACAAAACCCACAATGTCGCAAAGGATAAGCGTCATGATCACAATCGTCCTAGGAAGGTCCATAGATCTCATCCACCAAACACCACTCGAATGGATAAAATAACATACGGCACATGTTTTCAAGTGCAACAAGCTGGATCCTTCCTGAGTTCTTAAGATTAGAGAGAGTAAAGAAGGGCAAAGATCTTAGAGAATTTTCGCTGAAACTTGCTTTTGAACAACCGGAACAAGGAGTTACATCATTCCCAATGCAAGAACACCGAGAAAATCTGTCACCTTCAGGTTACAACTTATGACGATTGAGTTTGCTTGGCGAGCTAGTTTGTCAACATCGTCAATTCCAATAACATCGATCTTGTTATACACATACACACACTTGATGTATTTTCGATTGCCTTCGATGACATCAATGAGGTCATCAACAGTGGCGTCTTCTCGGAAGAGTATCTGCAGAACGATGCCAACGTTAATGATGATGCCAACGCTACAAATCAGAATAAAGAACTCCATTATGTGCCGGAAACGATGTACTCACAAACTACTTGCTCATTCACGTTGCCTATAGAACTTTTGGACCTAAATGGTGTCCATGAGTCTCAAAGCAAACAGTGTTGTAATACTACAGGACATAAAAGTAAAATACGAGACTGTTAGTTGATTAATAGTTTGTAGGCAAAATTTACTCCCAGATCACTTGGAGCTTTGAGCGTTTACGATCCCGTTCATCCCGGCGAAGCCCTTCAATTTGACCGTCGGTTTGGATTTAATGTACGCAGCCTATATAGGAACTTACTGAGACAAAACGCCAGTATTGGCACGAGGGCTTCAGTGCTGGTTTTACCTCTGCATTATGTATCTTATACTCGTGCAAGATTTGATAACAAAGTTTCTCGTCTACGTTCGTCAACTGCATGGTGCTGTTGAAGGATATTCCTCCTGTTTTCTTCCTCTTGAAGTAAATCTGCATAGCCACAACCCTCAATTTGAATGACAGCTACAATGTACAAGCACTTTTACTGTTGATGAACTCTACAATCGGGCATTACAAAATGTATGCTATGGTAACTGACTAAATCACCTCAAGTTTTTACCTGTGGGGGCCTTTTGTTCAGTCGCAATCCCACAGCTTCCAGTTCTCGTGTTAAAATTTGTCGGTGACCTTCACTCTGCGTGCAAGATGAAACAAAAGAGAGAGACGTTTGAAATTCAAATCGATGAACACAGCAAGATCATGTATCTTTAACAAAGACAACAATTCCATCGGAGGAAACTGTACGAAAGTGATAATGTCCAAGTTTAGCGATGAAAACATTAACAGTTACAAAATTGGCCTTTATGTTACTCCGCGTTATGATCATTCCTCACTTGACAAAGTAATAAGCTCCTGTAAATATCTAGCATTGGACTTGAGGCAAAAATTACCTTGGAAGCATCGAGAACCATCAGGACAAGATCTGATGATTTCGCTACAGCTATAACCTGCACAAACCCCAGACAGGAAGCAAGGTGTCAGTCGTTGGAAGCCCTGATCAGGTCAGAATGACTTAAAGAGAAAAATCAGAAATGAGAATTCAAGGACAGAAAAATAACAGCTGAGAGCAAAAACGCTGCTAGTTAACAAATGTAAGCAAGCGTGCGCAAATCACTGGCCTAGTCCATTACGAACCTGTCGACCACGACCTTTTCCTTCAGAAGCACCCTCAATAATCCCGGGAAGATCCAGCAATTGAATCTTAGCATCATTGTAATTTATAATTCCAGGAATGCAAGTAAGAGTTGTGAACTCGTATGCAGCTGCCTCGGACTGTGTTCCTGTGAGGAGTGTTAACAATGTGGACTTTCCGACACTGCACAACAAGACATCCAAAGTAGGATGATGTAGATAGAAGCACATTTCAAACTGTCATTGCTGCAGGAAAAACTGCAAAAGCTAATTAGGCCGACTAGGCCCAGTGATAAATGCGGTGAAAATAATTAAGGGAAATTCAAAATCGAACATCAACGACGATGGAATCGAAACAAGGTGCTAAATGAACAAAGCTTGGACTGACAATTGCACTTGACACCCGTACACATTTAAAGCTAGAGGCTTTCTTTAAATTTGGAAACGAAGAAATGTAATTACCTGGGAAACCCAATCAAAGCCACTCGACCATGTCCAAATTTTGTTACCTCAAAGCCATCACCAGCACCAGTAGTCCCCTGTAATGAGGGGAGATATCAGAAACCCAAAACACACACATTCCTTACTTCATTGAGACTCCATTTAACTGCACATATAGAGCCTACAACACGCTATGATGATAGTCGATGGTTAATATCGAGTAGCTGGTGAAGAGAAAGCAAACGCCACAACACAACTTTGAGGATAAGAGAAGTTCATGATGTGCTGCTAGAAAAATATAAGAGCAAAAGGCTTCAATACAAAAAAGGAACAACCAATCAGAGCCGTGACTTGACACCAATGAAGAAAGCTCAATAACAAATAGAGGAATCCGACCTTGGGAGGCTCTAGCAACTGAGTCCGCAACTTCGCAATCTTGGCCTTCAGCTGTCCCAAATGATACTCTGTGAATCAAGACGAATGAACTTGTCAAGCCTTCACAGCAGAATGCATAACTGCAACAAATGCACTAAAAAGTGTGACATCCCTGGATTTCTTTTCAGGGAATGAACTTGAAAACTTGTTGATGCAATACGAGAAGGTCACCGACTAGTAATTGCTTTCCGCAAGTTCAGTCAGAATATGTGCCTCACCTGTGGCCTTATTTTTCTGAGTCCTGGCCATCTCGAACTCAATCTCCTTAATCTTTTCAATTATCCCCATCTTGAGAAGATTTTGTAGGCTTGAATCTTACTGCAGCATGTAAAATTCAGTACGTCAAAAATTTGCTCAAGCTTACTGTGGTTTGTCCCGAAAGGAGTCCAATACATGTCGACAAAAGTATAGTGATTAGTCATCTTTGGCTAGATCAAAGCGTATTATGTCACTACGATCGAACATTACCAAAAAACATTGTATATGCAGAGATGGAACCAAGATCGCTGATAAGGTGATACATATGTGCTCACGAGAATATTGGTAAGATTCAATAAACAAATCAAAGCGATCACAACATTAAACGTGTTTTTGTATAAGCTGACTATCTCTTATATTATGAGGACTTTTACTTATGTACTTTGCCACTGTAGAAACAGCTCCTGTATCATACTGAAAATTTGGGGAAAAACATAAAAGCGCTCACAAACGTTCATCGAAAATTCAAAGCGCTTCATACCATTCACAATGCAAGCTAGTGGTTAGACATTAGAATTTACAAAAGCGGGAAATCTCGGCGGTGGACTAAAGACAGTTCTACTGTCGCACGATTGTACGATGACAGAACTGCAAAAACCGAAACAACACTTTCACGAAAACAACGAGCAGAAGACTGCAATTCGAACCAAACGACAGAAAGAATGCAGTCTACGAGTACTTTACTGCTGAAGGAAGGTACAGAGACTGCCCCGCTAAATCTAGAAATTGCTCACTCCCTCCGCTAACTGAGATTACTATTCGAAAAGATGAGAAGGACATTGTGAGCAAGGTCAAAGGGAGACCCAAGCTTCAATGGTAATTCAACAGCAGAAAGGAAAAAAAAATCAATCAACGAAGAGCGATACACGTCTTAAAGGTCTTGTATGAAAAACAAAGAGCAGATCCTGCGGCGAAATACATTGTTATTTCATTGGACGTAGTTTCTACAATGGAAACAGTATAATTTGAGGTAAAAAAACAAAACGAACAAATTTCTTCATTTCAACATAATTGCTTGCCTCTCCTTCAGCTGAAATTCGCATTTGATCGACAACGATCACAACTTCACACATCCTAAACGTCAGTGCTACGTAGAAGCACAGGGAAGATCTCCAGTCGGAAGCTCGTATATCAGCTCTCGAGGAGAAATGAGCTGGGACTGATGCGACAATGCAGGTCTTTGCTCCAGCATGAACATCCAGTGGAGATATGAGCAATATGAGCTTGTGCCGTCACTTGCAAGAGTTCGCTGATTTAGGTCAGCGAATCTACTCATCGAGTTCAGTGGACTATGTACAAATTCCAAGTAGATCAATCTTAATCGTTGAAAACAACAGGTGATGACAAGAAGAGTGGAACCATTTCTACAAACATGCCTCTGATCGATCCCCAAGATGGTAAACACGAATTTCTGCAATTGCAGCAAGCTTACCGATTTTGCGTCAGACCAGTACACAAATTCGCTCACGCCTTCACTACTTGCGAACCTCAAATTTGCTGCCGAGGGAAGAACTGCGAGTTATCTTCCGTAATCCTGACCAGGAACAATCCATCACAATCGATTTCAAATCCAAACAGTAAACGAGATGAAAACCTAGGCGGGGGATTTTCAATGATTCACTGATTCTCATACACACAATGCTCAGCGCTTCAAGTGGTAACGCAACAAAGTATAATTAGTGTAGAGTGGACAAAGACACATTACCGTAACAGACTGCAATTGACCTCCTTAACAAGTATCCCACAAACATCATTATTTATGGATCCGATATATCCATAAATATTGTTGTGTTCTGTCCAACAAGGTTATAAGCCACGATATTGTTCACAATCAACGAATCAAATTTCAACAAACGCAAATTGACAATTAGAGGGTAGGTTTCCCTCCTTGATTAGTGCTATTATGTTGCTTCTTCGACTTTTGATCTTGCAGATCTGCACTTTTGGCTCACAGATTTATCTAAACCTGACATTTACTAATTCATTTTGGTCATCAATCACAAATAAGCCGTTTGAACCTACCAAACATTTCAGCCTACTAAATACTTTTATGCACTGGATATGATTCCCACACAATGTAGTATATGTCCATACACCTGAAAAATACTTACGCTAACGCATACCTCCAAGAAAAAAAATGTATAAACCAACCAATATGATTGCAGGATATACATCAAACATAAGGTTAGATTCTTATCTAACCTAAAACTTCATGTATAATTTTCCTCAAAATATTTATATGTGTCCGTATAATACAGCCTTTATTCTAAGCTTGCCTGAATTTCATAGTATAGTCAACTACCAAATAATCATAGACATCCATTTACTCATCCATTTGGCATGAATTTCCAAGGAGCCATCCGCGTATTTGGCATGAGACACAAATAGCCTCAATCATGTAAGTGTCACTTATATCTTGACGCTTACAAGTTCAAAAAATTCCACTAACAAGAGTTGTTTGGAAAGAGTACTTACCATGAATCTTAGGTTACTCGACCAAATTTGATGTACTATCTAAACCTTCATGCTGCAGCAAGTTGGTTGATGAGAATATTTTTATGCCTCTATACTGATCAGCTTTTTCTGAAAAAACAACCCATGATGCTCTAATGTTGAAAACTTGTTAGAGTATCATATAAGATAGAATGGGAGTGAAGAAATTGAAGTACTTCAAAGCTTGTTTGGCATATGATGACGTAGAATTTGTCTTTCCATTAAGAATGAAATTTACGAGAAAAAGTCAAAGCACAACATCATTTGCGGTTGAGTAACATCACTCCACGCAAGAACTAATAAACTTCAAAATTGTTTGAAGTGCGAAAGTTGAGGTTGCTCATAAAATCGCAACATTAGTCTTATAAGCAGAAAAGAATATGTTTGCATTGATAATGCAAGGAATACATTAATCTTTTAGCGGAAAAATTGATTGCTATTAAGTGTGGAGCATTACAGTAAAACCTTTATAAAACAATACTGTTTAATTCAACAATCTCCCTAATTCAATATTATCCGCTGGTTCCTACATCGTGACCATACTTAATCCAATAATCCTTTTTTATTCAATATTCAATATATTTTTTCTGTCCCAAAATTTTTGTAATTAAATAATGTATATTGTATACCCTAAACAAAGTCTACAAATACATATCAAATATCCCTAAGCTGGCTGAAAAATCCGCGATGACCTTCTGGACCATATGGCGGCTTCTCATCATGTTGACCTTGTCTTGCATGCATCGCAACGAGGAAATGATTCTGGTGTTCTCATATTCCTGTTGCAGCCAAAAAGTCTCTAATGACTGAAGCATGTTGTTGATCTTCATGGTGATCACTATAGTGACTTCTTGATTGTCGTTCTCCTCATCAGCATCATCACCCTGGATGTCCATAGGTTGAGGGAGGTGATACTCGATAATCTGGTTGAGGATATATGTGTAGGAGACTATGTACTCATTCAGATAATTGAGGCAATTCCTTATGTTCATATGGTTCCTATTGCATAACATAATGATTAGACACTCCAATTTGTTGATGACGTGCTTTTCAGTGAATGATTGCTCATGCATATTGACCATGCGAATCTGGCAATGCTTGAAGCAGTTTTTGATGATTTTGTTCTTAACGTCTATGGTCCGGTATGGAATAGCAAATCTGATGGCTTGCACTACGTTAATCTTCTTTGACTGCTCGATGTCATTTTCAAGATGTTGTGGCAACAGATGGTTGAAGCAACGGTGATAAAAGACCTTAAATTGTGAATGATGTCGGTATCGCATGGTTGGATCTTAGGAATTCATCATGTTTGGCGAAAGGTAGCAATGGCGATTATATGACTTAAAATTGTGAATGATGTCGGCGTTGCACCGCTGGATCTTGGAAGTCATGTTTGGAGAAAGGTAGCAAACAGTGGTGTTTCTCAACTCAATGCGGAGCACGAAGTTAGTCAAGGGGTACGTGTGCACTGTAGTTCTTGAGAGTCAAAAGCACTTTGGGGTTTACAACATGAAGGTCAAACGCTTTCAGCCACTCCAAAAAGATGATCTACGTCATCCAAACCATTGAATTGCTGCAATATTTGCAGTCAAGGCTGTCATGGTTGACGTGCTTGAAGCACCGAGGATTCTTGTACTTTCCGATTACCCAAAGCGGAATTTTGTCATATCCATCTTCATTGCAACAAAGAGTCATGATAAGCCACTCTTTGTTGTGTTTGCTTACTTCAAGTTGCTTTGCGGCAAGGAAGTTATCGGCTTGGAACGTGAAGTGCTCAAGGTTAGTGGATGCAAAAGGTAAGATCTAAGACGCGAACACAATTAGAAGCACAAGTGCCAAAACTGCATACGGTAGAAGATGCCAATCTCATCCATGTTGTATTTGACCTTCGAGGCGTATTGGTCCGGCAACTGGTGAATTCTTGGGAAGACAAGGTTGACAATGTTCATGTCCACTAAGCCGCTCTTGTCGAAACGATGGAAGGATTTGATACCAAGGCGGAGCTTGAATGATCCAGCCAATCATTTGATATTTCAAACGGTTCATGGTTATGAAACATGCTTTTCAAGATCTTTGTGACATTCTACTTGATGAGATCTCATTGATGGATACTCGTTCCTTGTATTCAAGGATACTTTCTGCAATTGTCTTTTCATCTTCCCGTATTTGATTATACGTTGGTGCTTGTTGTGAACGTCGTGAAACTCAAGTCGTTTCAATAGCTCAAGAGTTGAGATATCGTTGGCTGGTTAACGTCAATGTCATGCTTTTATTTCATCCAGAGCAATGCGGACATTATCCGTCATTGTCGTATGTAATCTGCCTTTCTTTGGCATGGTGATTTTTTGGTACAATATTGACAATCGCTCAAAAAAGTAATTTGGGTTGAAAATGTTTAGAAGATCTTTGGGATCTAGGATAACTATATTTAGATTATGATCTGATTTAGATCCAGCTCTACGTCTTCCAAAGATGAACTATCTACGTCTTTTATTTGTCTGGAACTTGATTGTTTGGAGGCTGCGTCACGCTCCGGGGCCGTCTTAGGTTTCTAAGAACCAGTATCACGCCCAAGTTGTAACCTATCCAAATGTGGCTACTAAGATGATCAATTCAATTGATTTATAAGGCCCTTTCTAATTCAATACTGATGCTCCGCTCCCATCAATGTTATTTTAGACAAGTTTTACTATATATGGCATAGTCATATACAATGGAGTAATGACAATCTACTTTGGGAGAAGCAAGTCAAAAGAAACCTGAAGTTCATTAGCTTGAGCAAGATGTTGAGGCTTAAAGCCTACACCTTCAGCAATAATGATTCAAATTATCTTCACCAACAAGATGTGAGTAGTATTATAGTACAAGTATTATCTTTGAAAACAAGTGGACAAATATGACAATTATACTATGTTGTTTGAAACTTTGTAACTATGATTTTATCACAAATAATTGTCAAACATGTTGTATGTCTATTTAAAACTTTTGAGCTTTTGTATGAAGTAAATTAGTACAAAAATCATATTCATGAATTTTGTGATTATTTCATGATTCTTAAAATTTTGAAAAAATAATAAATGAAAAAGAAGATTTTTCATCTCTTTTGCTCATTACATACTATTGAGTAGTCACTATTGACACACATAACAATGATTTAGATTTTTGTTGAGGATCATTGAGCATTTAGAATTATGTTGTTTGTTGACTTATGATTTATAATATAAGGTGATAATGTTATTTTTTATTTCTTTTATCTGGTATGATATTACATACGATTGATCATACAATAACAAAAAATGCAAAAACTTTGCATTCAAAAGTGTATTCAAAATTTTGAATGCAAAGTTTCTATAATTGAAGTTTTAGAGTTTAAAACTCTGGTGTATTGAATATGTGCCAAAATGAGTTAAAAAAAATGATGGTGTGAATGCCACATCTAATCATACTTTTTCAATCTATGTGATTCAAAAATTTGATTTTAATGCATATGGATTATGTTTGTTGATGGATTAAAAGATGAAATTTATAGATCTTGGATATGTTTTGATATTTTTGTCATTTATTGTTACATTAGAGATTTTTATTTCACTTTTCATTATTGAACAATTCAAATTTATGAAATATAAACAATCTTGTAAAATTGATCATTTGATTTGTTAAGTTTCAAATAATTTGTCTACTTGCATGCATTTTGATTCAAGTCATACTTATACATGATAGAAAAAATAACATTATTCTTGAAAATAAAGATTTAATAAATTTTGAATGGAGCTTTAAATAGAAAGTGATCGAGGTAAAATTGGATAATAAATGAATAAAGAAAATGCAAGAACATGAATTAAAAATAAGAAAATATTTATTTATGTTAGAGTATTAGATTTTGAGTTTCAAAATTTTAAATTAGTAATTTAAATATGTGCATAGTGTTGTTAGAAAAACATTTTTATTTATAAACTCTTTGAAAAGTTATAATATGTGTACTTCATTGAGCTCTATACAAGATTTTTGTGCACTTAATTTTTCACATAAAGATTTGAGAACTAGACATATGTACTAGATAATTTTCACTTGAACTTTATTTTATCTGAAACAACAAAGAGCATAAACATTAAAAATTTATCATAAATATCAATATTCTTTTAAAAAATTTGAGGAAATTTAAGACAAAACGCCCAAATAATGATCACATCATTAAAAATTTGCTGAATTTTGCAAGTCACATTTTTGAATAAATGCCTTTGTGTTGTGAATTAGAATGTCAATAGAAAAAATCCAAACGTCAATTAATAATAATTAATTATAATCAAGCTCGAGCAATACTTGATTTAAAGACTAATCAAATATCTAATGTAGTTATTTGATGACATGAAGTTTGTAGGTATATTAATACTATTGTATTGTTAATCCTTTTTATGTCATTTAAAATTATTTTAGATTAGAATCAATCTATAATCTAAGTAAAAATTCAATATTATTGATTGAGAGCGTGTATTTTGACCAAAGTTTCATAAAAATAATCAAAAGTTCATCATACTTGACAATGATAAATAAAACAAAATTTCAAAAAAAACATCTTAATTTTGTTGTAAGTTTGATAATTTAAATTTAAATTTAAGATTTTTTATTTTAAAAATAAATATGATTGATATTTTTCTAAATTATGAAAAATTTTACTTTATTGATTGTCATAAATTTTTTTTTCAATATTAGCATAATTCATTGTCAAATTTATTTGATACCTTTTCTTTGCCATTTCACATTATGCGACATTGTTTTTCTAATTTTAAAATATATTGTTACATTCTTTTTTCTTTTTTTTGTCAATATTTTTCTTTTACTTTCAAATCAAATAAATTTTGATTTTATAATATCACCTCTTGCCATTTGTATTGATGTCAATGATTGACTCAAAAGTGTTGACTATCATTATTAGAATGTCCAATTTTTGTTACTATGCACAATCATTTTTCAATTTTGAAAGTTAAACATAACAGTGCATAGCCAATAATTTTTAGAATTTCAAACTTTGTCACATATTGAATCCAATGAATGATGAAGTTTGTCAATTTATGAATCATGTGTTTTATTTGGTCACTTTACATTGCAACCAATACTAAAATTTTGCACTTTTATCATTCATCGCATTTGACTTGTTTTTTTAAAACACTAAAATTTCATAACATGTGGTTATAACATTTTGTAAAATCAATGCTATTTACTTGATTAGATCCCATCAAAACCTAAATTTCTTACTATAACCCTTCATATATATATCCTATTAAACCTCATCGACGTTACATGTCACGCATGTTTTAATATCAACAAACTGTGTAGGCAGTAGAACTCTGTTGCAACGAATGCGACTTTTGATAACAACTTGGTTACGTTGTAAAATTGAACAGCTTACTTTTTGATTGCAGTTCGAGCTCAACATTGCACAGAGTTTAACCTTGTCTGATGCACTTACTACATCCTTGTAGTCTCGACGGATTCAGATCTACGAGGTTCATTATACAAATTTTTGCAACATCATGATACAAAATATCATTCAATCAAAATCAACATCAATTGATCTTTGTAAAATATTATGGAATTAACATCACCAGCATGGCATTGATGTTCAACGCAATGAGTCACTTCATGCCGAGCAATTGTGGCTTAACGAGGCCGAGAAGCCAAGATGACAATTGATGATCAACTCTGACAGTCTCAGAGATTTGATTGATCAAAATGTTTTGTAGTAGATGGTTTCGTGGATGCATTCTTCATCTGTCAAATCTTTGTTTGAGATGGTCGTCGGTTGGAACAAATCCTCTGAAAGGAGAAAGTTCGGGCTGTCCCTAAATTCATGTTTGCGATCGCAGAAGTCCACTAAATCGCATCTATGTGTGTAGTAACATGTTTTAGAACTTCACAATGGTGTGCCTTCGGTGGAGTCATATTTGATAAAACAAAACTTGATGAATCCCATCAATCAATTTAGGTTCTGATGAAAACTATGAAGTAAATAACTCTAAAAAACCAAAAAATATATATTCCTTATTTATAATTGTAATTCATATTTTTCATAAAATTCATTACTATTCTTCTAGCAACATAGTATGTGCGAGTCAAAATTGACATTCATAGTGACAAATAATATTAAAAAATCAACATAGATAAAATCTTATCTTATTATTTATATGACAAGTTTAACAAAGTAAAATTAAAAATGTTTGTTGATAAATGTAAAATTTTTTCACAAAAATTTATTGTATGTTAGGAAATGATTTAACAAATTAATAAATTTTTTAATATAATCATAGTACTTACAAAATTTAACCAAATAATTTAGAAAATATTTTTTCCTTTTATTAAATGTTGAATGATGAAGGATACAAAATATGAAATTGATTTTAATGTGTTCAGTATGAAATTTTCTAGTTTTGATTTTTTATTATATGAAAGTTGATTATTTTTTAATTTTTATTGTAATAGATATATTTTTATTTTGGTTAATAAAAAACAAAAGAAGATATAATTTCATTCGGAAAAGTAACAAAATTAGAAAATCGTTATAATATTCTCATATTAAAATTATTATAAAAGATCAACTTCTTAATTTTGAAACTACCTGCTAGAGCAAAAAATGATGATGCAAAACATTTGTCTTACAAATATTAGTGAAACATTAGGAAATTATACTATGTTTTGAATGTCACATTTTATTTGGGATTTTTTCAATCAGCGAGTATAAAAATATTTCTAGAATCTTGCACTAAACACTTATTCAATACAATTTTTGTTAATCATTAATAATCATATTAAAATTGATCTTCTAGTCAACTTTCAAAGATCTGTAATCAGGCATTATATTTGTGTTGCATTATAATCACCACTTTTATTTATTCATTATTTTGATTCATGACAAAAATATTATTTAAAACTTCTTACTTTCAAAATTGCTATAGAGAGATTATTTTAGAATTTTTTTCCAATTTTTTGACAGAAAGTTGCTATTTTTCTCTTCATTTGTCGTAATGATACAAAATATGACTTAGTTTTATTACAAGTACTCAATGAGACCATTAAAATTTCGTAAAACTGGATATGCAGTATGATCTCTATATGTACTTGCGATTCACAATCATATACAAACCATTATGTTAAATATTCTCTGCATTTAGAATGCAACTAACAACTTTATACTATCACATACAAGATTTTTTGTTTGTATCATGAACAGATACAGTATTGATAATTAAGCAACGCTTGAATGAAAACCTTAAAAAATTATATTTCGAAAACTTTTACATTTTCTAGTGACAGTTTGGCATGTATACATAATGATCTCTAAAAGCTGAAATAACTGCTATAAGATGTAATATATATCGAATTACATCTAATGGAAGAAAATTTTCTAGAAAATGTCTCATTTGATTCGTTATTCTTTAGTGAAATTAACTTCAGAAAAAGTCAGGGAAGATAATGCTCCTCAACAACATTATATAACTAGAATTGATTCATGTCCTGTGTGCAGTCTACATGACTTCAAATCTTGTGATGAGCAGCTATACGTTTATCAACTGTACTGGTGAATGTGAAGTAATATCAAGTAAGTGATATGGTGGTTTTATGGGGGCAGAGTCTTTGGGAGAGCAGGCTATGACTTTGCAGGCGGTTCCTTGGCAACAACCGCACCAGGTTTTTTAGGTGGCATCTTTAAGCTTTTAAGAAGATCAACGATAGGTTTTTTCTTGCTGAAGGGTGTCGTGTGCATTAGAGCGAAGTAGTTGGCAGCAAACTGGGTTATTTCACAGGAGTTGTTGTCGTAGTTGAACAATGGATTGCGCTCCACCTGTCACAAATTCCAACATACCGATCTCGTGAAAAAAACTTTGTAACTTTTCCTATGGTGGAATTTTGTTATATAATGTACTACTGAAACTGTCCACCCCAGCTCAACTCAACTCTCTGATTGTTTATGACCATAATGAAGACCACAGGTGTATTTCTCTGGTGATCAGTTTCTGAGGACACAAAAAGCTGTTGAACCTAGGTTGCAGCTTGATCCGTTGTATTAAATTTAATAATACGCCAGCTCAACAACTGCACCAGCTCAAACAATCAATTTAAGATTTCATTCCCCTTTTACTGTAGGCGAAACTTTTTGGCCATTTGCCTTAGCGAATTCAGCTCCTCATGATTGTTGCCATAAGTTCTTATTGTATCATGCCTCACAGTTCTCTCCCATTTCAAATGTGTACAGAATATCCTTTCTTTGGAGGCTCAGAACAGCTGTTGGTGCAGAGTCTGCACCAAGGGCCGTACTAGTAAAGGGTGAGGCGAGAATCGAAAACTGATCACCAGAATATGCTTCGATGTAAATGCAGATTGGGAGGAGGGGGAAAGTTATACCAGAGGATGGCTCTCCCAGCCATAATCCTGGGACGTTGTTTGCGGTAGGTCAAACTTCTCGGGTGGTGTTTTTTCCATTGTCTTTATCATCGAGTAGCGCTCAACGTACTCTTGAGCATTATCGTATTCGCTTTTGGACACTGTTCTTGAAACAAAGACAAAAGCAATCGCTGGGATGACGTCCCTTATAACTACGACGCTGGAACATACAAGGCAAACTGCAGCAGGTTTTAATTTTCAGAGGCAGTAAGTTCTCCGTTCTGGCCAATTCTGAACGTTTATTTTAGAAAAGATGCTCCGTGTTTTGAACCAACGTAGATATGATCCGATCATGAATTTAAGTTACATTGATAGGATATGGAATGAAGTAAACCATATGCAGGACAACATCTCACCTAAGGTAGAGGGTATGAAATTTGTCGGCTTCTCCGTGATTGCATACACTGCAGACCAATACTGTCCATGCAATCAATACACACGCACATTCTACATCGTGTACTTTCAACCCCTTCGTTCAGAGTCTTTGTATATCACCACAGGTAGGTTTCATATACTCCGGATGGTTGCTCAATTCAGAATAGGGTTGATGATTCAAATTCAGAAAAGAAGCGCTTCAACTGAATGGGTAGTCATCAGTTATCGGAATCAAAAAGCGCTTACTTGTGAGTGGGTTAAACTGGAAGTCGCCAGGCATAGATATCATAGCCTCCACCTTGGAACAATGTTCTTTCCATATACGATTCGCAGACACTTCATCAATTCCGATACCGCTCCCTGGCGATCCTCTACCAATTGCTGGACCTTTCGGAGGTGAGGGACCTCGCTTTTTCTCAACAATGTCTACCATCTTGAACAGAGACGAGAGTTGTGGCGTGTCAACTGCGGAGAGTTCACAAAGACGAAACCCCTCATGAATTCTGCTTGGAAAACCTGTTCTGTTCAATGTTCAAAAGCTTTTGTACGAGTACTCTTTGAAAAGCTTCTTGAGATCTTTGCCGTATAAACGACCTTTGTACTATTTGCCATGGGAGAACTAGTTCTTGCGATGCCTCTATTCTCATCGGTCACAATGTAGATCATGTGCAGTCGCTTGCACACTGATTTTGTCAATCTCAAATTTAGAAAAAAAACTAGGGTACTCTATTTTGGTTGTTATTGACCAACTCATTAACAATGCAATGTTCCTTGGGCTAGATAATTGTAATCTGATGAAAGTGTACCCTAAGGCCGGAAGAGCTCTCGGGCCACGGATTTGAGGTGCTGGTCGGTTACCTTGAATTGAGATTAACAGAAGGTTATCACCAACAGAGATAACCTTCGAGCGTCCACCTTGAAGCGGCTCGGGAACCGAAATACCTGACTTGAATCGCAGCAGCTCAGATGATCATGCATGTGTCGTTCTGACGCGTCCTTCTTGTCAATGACCACATTTCATGGTACAGATAATCTGACAATGTATTGCGCGACATTGAATAGTTTAAGAGCATGATAGAGGAAACATCCGTTAACTGTGCAAACAAGGAAGCATCTCAAAAAGGAACACCCGACAAACTGACAGTATCTGAAGATATCTTTAATTCCCTGGATAGTTGAGAGCACTAAGAACTAATTTACAATACGCACTGTACATTCTTACAAAAATTAACTTCAATTCTTGTAGGTTTACTGATATGCCCGTGGAACATTTCTTTTGCAAAAGAAGGGCTACTTTCATCAGCTATTGAGGACGGAAGGTCGGTAGTGATGTGATGGAAACACGACATCGTCCTGTACTTGCAAAACGAGTGTGATAACATTCACAATTCTCCTGTTCTGAAATCCATGCTAACTAAACCTGCAGTCAGTACTCTAATCTGAAATTGACTTGGATGAATAAGAAAAGACTCCAATTGACTGAAGCTAGAAGCTAGAAATTCCGTTTGCATTGCAATGCTTTCAGATATTGTGGCCAGAAGCAATAAGCAAACTTTGCGGATGCAGATTTCAATAGACTAATATACTAGAAATAAACAAACCATAAAGAGAGCGTCCTTTTACACCTCAATTTGGATTTCAATTAATATGCACAGATCTTTCAGGGTGGCTTCAATAGTACAAGCTTCTGAAATAGAAAACAACCACTCAGAAGCTGTTACACCGTTCAGAGACGAGAAGGCGCGATTAATAATAAATCGATAGATAGTAGAACTAAAGATTATGATATGGTGGTCTATCTTCACACCTGCTATGATAATTGACTATCACGACCAGCTACAACGAAACCTGACCTGACCTTGACCTAGCGGTCTCAACGTTGAAGCTTCGATGAGGAATAATGTTTTCGATCCGAAGCAAGCAACGAGGGATAGGTTTGAGAGATTTTTTGAGAAGAAGAAAGTGACTGTGTACTGTAGGTAATATACACTCGAAACCACTTGATGAAGAAGGATTCTATAAACAAAGCGTTAGCACAACTTAAAGAGGAAACTTTTTGCCTAGTTCATTCATACGCATAGTCCTCAGGGTTCCCCGCTGCTGCTAGCGATTTGTCATGTAAATATACATGTGATGCAAGGTACAGCTTATCCAAAGTAATATCGCCGTCGCTGGCTTTCTCAAGATCAGACTGCAAAAGAAACAAAATACCAGTTACGGGGTGGACTTCCCAATAGTCCGCGTCGGATTCCAGCTCATATGTCAAGTACATAGGGTTCTTCTGCCTGAAACTTTTATCTTTGGATTTTGGAAAAAAAATTAAAAAACTAAACTAATGATAAAATTGTAATCTCGACTTATCTGCACGGAGATTGAGCACGTTCAAGGACGTGACTTTGACGTGATCGAAAAGAAAATGATATATGAATCTAGAGTACCCAAAAAAAAGTACACAGTATATTACCAATTGATGAACTCGTACTATCTTCTCATGAGCCTTTCCACTCATGAACGGTCGGAGAATGTTCAAAACTAGCTGCACGGACAAAGACAGATAGTGAGTTACAACATTATCTGTACAATAACGTTTATTAGCATCTCGAGAGATAATTTGGCCTCCATATCATCTTTGGTTAGCAAGAAAAAGCCCAGCTGACAAGCAAATGTATATCTCACAGCTTGGTAGATTTGATGCATTCACGACAAACATCGCCAAAGAAGAATCCAAACCGAAACCATACGAAAGATGTTCAAAAAGTCACGGCATCCTCCTTCGTATGACCCATCGACCATACAAAGAACACCCAGCATCTTAAAGAAATATTATATAAGTAGAAGGACACTGTCATAATCACCCAACATTGGATGATCATGACATGCATGCCTATGTCCTGCAGAGACATGCGGATTGGAATGTCCTGTTCATAGTGCGGTACAGGTATTTCTTTCAACTAACAGCGGCACAAGAGAAGTTCTTTCTACAGACGACCCAATTGAATCCAGTATGATCTTCAGTCTACATCGTCTGTACTGATCGATATGTTAGCGGTACCACAACTGTTAAAATACGATAGGGTAGAGCAGTAGCTTGGAGCGTCTTGCTCACAGACCACGATTTGGAAATATACTAACCTCACGGAGTAGTAAGATTAGTAATCTCGAGCAATCATCTTTGATGATAATCACAATGGGCAGATGAAAATGGCTTGTGCTAACGGTTTAGCGACCTGAACAGACCTTGATATGCGTGGGATTGATTACAGTCAGATACTTATAGCTGTGACAGCAAAGTTTTCTTTGAAACCATTATCCACTTCTCAGTTGGTCCCATGGTCCTCTAGGATTGGTTTCTTATCATATCTTGACAGAATGCTGGATAGTAGATGGGAAGTGCGTTGCAGGTACCCTGGTACAGATGCATGCGGAGGTTTGTGGGAACATTGAAAGACATTAAACTCACATTTACAAAAAACGTGGGATGAATGAAGACAACTCGTTGCACATTTTTCTTATAGGCGTACGGTAGCTTGCGGTAAACGTCCAAGCACCACATTGTTGGAACCTGAACAAGGAGAACGACATCTTCAAAGATGAGCTGATTTGGAACACCAATACTAAGCCGCTCCGCTGAGAACAATAAACCACAGAAACTTTGATTTATCCTAACAGTTCTAATTATTACTGACAAAAACAAGCAAACGATATCGTGATTGTATAGTCAGAGCACATAATCCGTCTTTGCACCCCGTGTCCGCTCTATCTTGCCTACCCAAATTACAGAAACTCATTTTCTTACAAGAAGTATGTATAGACTGAGTACCTCTTTATGAGCACTTCCTTTACTTGGATTAGGCGACATGACGAAAACCAAGTTATACTCTCCTGCCTCCACAATTGGCTCCATTTTCTCTGCGAATCAAAACATGGTCCGTAACTTTAACTCGTAGAGTTCGATAGCAATTATATCTTCCCATAAAATAATGGTTGAAATTTCTTTCACAATCTTCGTTAGCTTCTTACCTCGAATATGCCCCAAGGCTGCAAATCTCATGTATGGAGGTGGACAATAACTTGTATCAATGACCACTGTTGACACCACAACAACCATCAGATAACCAATTCACAGCACGCGAATTCTAAGAAGTAATCGGCTTACAATCACAATTACGATGTACCTGACAGTCCATAACCCACTAGCAGATATACCGAACTAACCTATGGGTCGCCCGCAAGCATCTCGACCGCAAACCTTAATCAGGCCTCTGATCGAAATTATCTTCTTAGGTGAAGCCACTTGTAAATCAGAATCAACCGTGTCATATGGCACCATGTAGGACCTACTCTCCCCCGCAAATATGTCATCATGTGGTCTGCCATACTCTGCAAAAGCAGTTGATGTTGCATTACATACAACTTCATCGAGACAAAATTGCTTTCTCTGATCAGAACATCTCGCCTACACACTTAAACCTCCTATTCCTCTATATACTTTTGAAGAAGAAATTGGCTATGCAAAGGCTAAAGTCCAGGTGATTTACATGTCAAAGATACCTCGTGCGAAAGATGATCGAAATACGCACCTTTCGCAGAACCTGGTGAGTCGGGGGTCCGAGATCTATTGGGCATGGTTTGTTGTCGCTGGAATCGACTGAATAAAGCCCCGATCTTGAAAGACTTCCAACGCTTGGAGTTAGACGTAGGAGTTCCACCAGGTGTAAGTTCACTCTCGGACTCGTAATCTGAAAGGGAGGGAGATGGAGTGATTTTTAGACTCAAACCGCGATCCTTAGCAAAATGTGATAATCGTCTTTTCTCTGTGAACGCCCTCTGCTGCTCAGCATCCCACTCGAGGGACGACTCCGTCTCCGAAAGGTCGTCTCTATCTGTCGGCGAACTGCCCATTCGAGGCGATGTACTCATTTCAGAACTTCTTACACTTCCGTTGGGAGATGAATTGTCTCCGCAGATTTGATCATCTGTTGGAGTCGCCATGCTGCTGTTACAGGGTTTTTGCCCTTCTTATTTCAGCAAAATCCTTAAAAGCAGCAGCGACTGGCACAGATGTAAATCTGCAGAACACTAAGCATCCCAAATCAACATGTATTATGTTAATCAATACAGCTGCTCCATAGCAACTAGACCTTCTTCTCTCAATCGTCCCACGGTACGGCTCGTGATCTTGTGCAGATTGACCTTCTTCACCAGATGTGCGAATTCAGCTTTATTACCATCATCCCGGCTTCTCTTCGTCAAAAGAATTCTTCTTGCAGCATTTAAAACTCTCTGCTGGTGCGCAGACTTCCACCTTCCATGATTGAGCTTATACTTCCTGCCACGACCAGAACAATTTTATCAGAGCCGATCGTCATCACCTCAAAGGAAACACCTTCGGCTCCGCGAGACCACTAAGAGAAATTGCTCTTCGATCGCAGAAGACTTGTACATCATTCACGTCTTGCGATCATGGAGTGCCCAAGGCTCTTTCTGCTTAATCTGATACATCATAGCTGTACCTTCTAACCTTGGTGTCAGGAAAGGCATGTTTGTGACACAAAATTAGAAAACGCCCGGTCCAGTCATGCATCTATATTTGGCATGTATCACTTAGATGCACGACATCCTAACTGCATGCAGCTGAATCTGCACACAGAGGTCGTTCTTTAGTTTTGCAGCATCATGGTGGGAAGGTGATCGCAGCGAAGATTGTATAGCCTGTCAGATCGAGTTTTGTAGCATACATCGACCCTGATTGTTGTTTCCAGCGTTATCATAACCAGATCAGCCTGATCTGTGACTGCGAATTGACAGCATATTTTCGTACTTTGACAGCATTGACACATTAAAAACCAAAAGTCTGTGCAAAAATTCTGTCGAAGTTGCTTCATTCCTACTCACTCAATGAAATATCACATGCACTCACCATTACCATCCCCATACGGCAGCGATCCGATCGCAGCTTTTTCTTGCTCAAATCCAGCTTCCAAGGCTCTGCGGATAAATGGCTTCCACAGCCCTTCGGCCCTTGCCTTCGCTCCCTTTTTGTTCCTCTCGTCCCGCTTCGTGCAGACTCCTTAAACAGCAGGACACTACAGGACTACCGGCCTTGACCGGTCACCAGTTTCTGCCATCTGTATTTAGGCCTGCGTGGAACGGTTTTGTGTGTTATCTCACGTGTCCTACAGTCTTGCCATGGTGGATACCTATATTTACCTACACCTATATGTAGCTTACGCGTTTTTCTTTCCATACGAGACGCTAGAATCTGAACGAGTTCCGAAGTTCATTCCCGAAAATATGTAAATTCTTCTGTGCAAAACGAGAAAGAAAATCTACAAATCAGAAATACAATCAGTCTGGTAAAAATACGTTTATACCTGGGGTTGTTGTACACAGCCCAAGGAATCATGTAAAATCTTTTACCCTCCCGATAAAGCCAGATACTATTACCAAATATAACTAAAGTAAGAAGCTCTCATCATATTTCGTGATTTAAAAATCTCAAATTTATAAAAGTTAACATATGCAAACTCACACATTTCTAAAAATTTGTTACATGTGATTGAGTATAGAAATAATTATTTCAAATCTGAAATTCAATTTTATAGTGATTATCACCACATTCAATTTCGTTATTTTGATACTCAAGTAAAGCATTATGTTTGAGTTTTATAGCTTTGAATATATTTCTTATGTTGAATTTAGTGCAATTAGTTATTATTGAATAAAGCAAAAACTATTCTAATTTCCACATAGATAAAGTTCAAGTTAGCTATCTAGAAATAAACTTGATTTGAGAATTTAATATTGATTAATTTCAAATTCATATATCTTTTGAAAAATTTGAATTTAATAGTCTTAAAAGATCAATGTGAAAACTTGAGCGAGTTTGCAAATTGACAAAGGTTGTAAATTTGATTGATGAATTGTTTAAAATCTACAACGATCATAAATGTGAAATATCAAAAGATTTGGAATGTTGTGTGCGCACAAACAAAAGCACGGTATTGAGACAAACAACATAGATTTCAAAATTGAAATTGAATTGTTAAAACTAGATGCAACATACTTGTTATCATTTGGATTGCAAAGTAGTTTAAATAGGTCTAAGTGATGAAGCATAAAATGCACGAATCAGATGGTTAAAGGTTTGTGATGAATGATATGAAGAAAATATTTGCAACCTTGGAATATAATTTATTCCCAGTTTTTTGGCATGTCTCACTAATTTTTTCATATGTCAAGATATTAAGTCTATCAAACAACAAGTCGAATAAATATCCACGCTAATTATAGAATTTGTTGTTCATGGAAGGAATGTGAAAATATGTGAAATCATAATTTTTTATTAATATATCTTTTTTATTTATAAATAATGTTTCAATGAATTTGATTTTTTGATGAACACATATATTAGAGTTGAAATGTCTTCAATCATGATAACGCAAGATTCATTATATAATTTACATAATTCGTTTTGAAAGTGTGATCATTATAAATTGAACGAGTCGTTAACAAGAAAAAATTGCATGACGATCCATGTAAGTCTTTCAAAAAAAAAGTCTATAATTGTAGTAGAATCACATTGAAGATCTATATGCTTAAATTAAGATTTTAGGATACTATAATATTGCATTTGTACAACATTTTTCTATTCTGCAACTAGTAATTCTATCTGGCACAAAATCATCTCAACTCGAAAGATCTTAGATCTATCAAGGCAATAAAAACTTAAGAGCACTTTTAAATTTATATTTCTAAGCTTATCACCAGTAAATATTACAAAATTAATATTTATCAAAGCATGAAATATGTTTTGAATCAAAATTTCATTAAAATTTTACTTTAAAAAAGAAAAAAATGGCATTTGTCATAGTTTTGTAAATTATCAAGTGTTTGATTTCAAACATTGATTAGAAATCTTGACCTTTCAACTCCTAGTAAAATGTTTATACTATATCTTAAAACATTGAAAAAAATCATGTCATTTTATTGCATACTTAATGTCTTACACTACCATGTGTGATTCATCACACACGGTAGTATAAGACACACATCATATTCAATGAGCTATGTATTCCAAGCAAAGCATTGGTTCATCAGTGATGAATCAAGGCTTGGCTTGGAATACATATCTCATTGACTTTGTAGCGGAAGCAAAAATTCTAAAGATGTTGCAAATTCAGCTCTCTTGCTAATGATAGAACTAGATTGGATGATTACAATGTGTAGATTTATTTATTTTCAAGCAAGGACAAACGAATAAATTTTTTTCTAGTAAGATTATCTTCAAATTTATTGTGTAGCTTGACAAACTAAACTTTTATAGTTTTTTAAAAATTTAAAGTAAGTATTGGGATTTAAACTTGCTTATGACACGCTTTTTTCAAATCCAGGCTAGATGCATCTTTATCTTTTCAACAATTAAACTCTTTGAGCATGAGTTGATTATGAAAAGACACATAAATATTTGTTAACTCTTCTAATTGGATTCATACCATCATCATGATGAATTAGCCTGCAATTTCTTGATGACAAATCATTTTGCATATTAAAGATTATCTTACTACTATATGAGCACGCTTTGTAATTTGAAGTTTTATCTTTTGTTTGAAATATTTGAGAGAATATTTTATCAAGTTCATTAACTCATAAGCTAATTTGATCTCTTGGTCTTTAAGCACAAACTTCGATTACTCTCTAATACTGAGAGTAATCGAAGTTAATCATATCAACTTGCTCGATCAAGAGTGAAATAAAAATAAAAAAACTAAGAATTTCATTGATTATCATGGCATATCAAAATTCTTTAGATCTAATTCAAGAGCAAAATGATGTAGAAAAGTGATTTTCTAATTCATGTTAACTATACAATTCATGTTCATAATCAAATCAATATTCATGTACTACATTTGCAATTGTCAATTTTTACCTAGTAGACTCTTGCATTTCAAATTAACTACAACAACATGTTTTGTGATCTATATCAAGAATAATCAATTATGAACTCTTATAAACCATGTAGGACATACAACTAAACAAACATCATTTTGATGATGCAAGTTGAGTTCAATTTAAACATGAAATTTTCAAATTCCTTGTTACATATTGCCAAAATCTACCTACTAAATGATGCATCAATGTAACTTATCCCACCTACACTAAATTTCATCAACCAACCTCTAAGACACTTTTAGCTTTATCATTATTTGTTCTTACTTTGAATGAGACTTTTGAACTCTAGAAATAAAAGTTGTGGCAACACAATAATTCCTAAAGTATCAAATGTAGGAAGCAATTTTGACCTTTTGCATCCATTAAGCTTTAATCTAACTATCTTCCACTAAATCGATACAAGCTTTAAATTCATACTTGCTTTACTTTCTTCACCTTGATTTTTTGATGTATTCAATATACTGGTTTGATGTCTTTTAAGTAGTTTGAGTAGATCTTAAGAGAATTCAATGTGGCAATCTTCATATTTTCAATCTTGCTTCTTCTTGCAAACATTATTTGAACCTTTGGAGTATAGTGAGAGTTTTGTTTTTTGTCAATTTTTGTGATATTTATGTGTCAAATATCTCACAACATGACAATATTTGTCATTGATAAGTTGTTTCTCTACAAGTTAGATCAGATGGATTATAAGTTTTGATTAGCTTGACATTTTGACTTGTAGTGATTGTGTATTTTTAGAAGATAGTAATCAATGTATCAGGTCATAACTTTATTACCTCGACTTGAGAAGTATTGCACACTTAAATTATATCCTATACTTAGTTATACCTTACCTTGGTCTAGATAATAAGATTGAACTTGTGTTATATAACTATATTAATCTATATATGGACAAATCAACGTATAGTAGTTTTTAACATCCAAGTTCAACTATGATCATCTTCAGTTAGTTAAAACTGAAGTTGAGGTTATTCAAAATGGAGATATAATTACATCTATAGTTGCCATGTCACGGATCCGTGTGTTTGGTAAGTAGAAAATAATTGTGTTAGTTGATTGCTAACGAGTCACTTGTTAGCTAAAGATTAGATCTATTAGTTATTGTGTTACTTGGGAGCAACACATCAATAATTTGTGTGATCATTTTGTGTATCCTGCCATATTATTAATCCATTAGAAGTGATTTGGATGCTGGTAAGTAAAGCTTACCTTTGTGTATGTGTTTGAAAGATACATTTAAGAACAAAAATAACTATACTATGTGTCTCTCGTGTTTAAAGTTGTGTTCCGTCTTTGAGTGAGCTACTCTCTTTATTCATAGTGTAACATTAACCTTGTTTAGTTATGGAAGTTAAAAACAAAAGATATCAAAGCACCAAAAAACAACCATACTTTTATCTTCAAAAAACATAACAAAATTGAAGTATTACATACCAAAAGTACTCATAGAGAAAAAATTATAATTAAAGGAAATTGTGAGACTAAAAAATTTTTTAATTTTGAAGTTAAAAATAACTTAAATCTGGATATAACACAAAAAAACAGATCACAATTTAAATCAAAAGCCAAACAAATTTTTTTGTAAGAATTTTTTACATTTTTTTGTGAGCTTGAAATGTTGTTGAAGTTAGACATATATCAATCATTTACAAAATGTAAATTTTTTAACAAAAAATATATCTCTTTTCACATAAATAAAATACATATTTTTTTACAACATATTTAAAGGATCCAATATGTTCTACAAAAAATTTAATATGTTTAACAATATATTTCAGAAATTGTTACTTGTGACAATTCTAAAGTATCCAATGATAGTGATGATATTTGAAGTAGATAGATATGACATGGTGAAATATAATGAATTGCAATATATAGAATTAAATGTAATGTGTATGTTAGACTATTTGCAATATAAATACAAGCCAAAAGCAAGTTTAAGCATGTGATTTGATTTAGATTCTAAAGCCTAAATTCTTTACATGTATATATGAATATTGAAGGTATATTTAGCAACAAGATGTGAGTATTATTATATTATATTTACAATCTTTGAATTACGCCATAATGAATTATATGAATATAACAATTATAAGCCGTAGTTT